GTCTATAGACCTTCGGAGAGGGAAGGTTGAGCCATTGTAAGTGTCCCCTCTTCATGGGACGATGGCTATCGACCCAATCTCGTGCAGCTGCTATGAATTTAAGAGTGCAACGGCTGTGCTCTACTTTGGAGACCTTGTTCTACAACATTCCAGCCCCTCTCCTGCTCCTACTTTCTTTAAATCTCCTCTTTCACAGTGTTCCCTGAGCCTCGAAGGCGGTGATATAGATGTCCTTTTTAGGGCTGAGCATTCAACCGTTACTTCCTCCTAGCACTTTGACCAGCAGTTATATCTCCTCAGTAACCACTACTTACTGCAAAAAGAAGGGTCTGCACCCAGAGGGGACAACAATATTCGTCTGTGGGAATGATAAACATAGTTATTTAGAAGCCAATTCAATGAACACAGCATATCCATTTAGCAAACAACAGCAGTAGCTTTTCTACTGGACACATGACCTCTCCAGCCACAGGACTTTGACTAGGCTTACAGTACTAAGCACTAGTTCTCTCCTGTGAAGCAGGCCTCCAATCCAGTTAAAAAATAGTTGGTTGCTGGGGCAGTGGTCGTGCACGCCTTTAATCCCAGCACTCGGGAGGCAGAGCCAGGAATTTCTGTGAGTTCCAGGCCAGCCTGATCTACAGGGTGAGATCCAGGACAGGCACCAAAACTACGCAGTGAAAACCTGTCTCAAAAAACCACCACCAACAAGAGCAACAACAACAAAAGGGGCGGGGTTTGGTTACCCCATAATGGACTTGCTGCTGTTGCAATTCAGCAGGACAGCTTTGCAGGGTCCAGAGCTGAGCAAGACAGCTGCGGACAGGTTCCCCACAGCTGTCTCAGCACTGCTGACACTGTGAGGGCCAGTCACCAGGGAGGGAGCATCCAGCTCACCTCCAGCTTAGTTTCCCAGTGTCCTTAGCCCAGAGCATGTGCTGTCTTCATCAACAGGGTCTAACCATCTAGTGCTAGTGGGCAGCCAACAGCAGTGGCAACCACCTGTGTTATTTTGGAGGCTCCCGAGGGATATTTGAGGGAGGTAGCCCATCCCTGGAAATGGGATTTTCATTTAATAACCTATGGATTCTAGGAGTAGCTTTATCTACCCATTCAATATACCTCCATTCAAATGGTTTCTGGCCTCTTTTTTTTTCTTCGAGACAGGGTTTCTCTGGTTAACTTTGGTGCCTGTCCTGGATCTTGCTCTGTAGGTCAGGCTGGCCTTGAACTCACAGAGATCCTCCTGGCTCTGCCTCCCGAGTGCTGGGATTAAAGGCGTGCGCCACCGCCGCCGCCGCCACCACCACCACCACCACCCGGCCTGGCCTCTTGTAATATGTAAAAAGGAAAATGAAAAGGGATGGGTGACAATCTTAGAAGTATGTATTTTACCTTTGTTAGTGTTGCAGTAGACTTATATCTTGGGAAAGGAAAGGAATTTGCCTGCTTTTTCTATGAAGGAAGTAAAATCATAAAGAAGATAAAAAATAAAGCCAAATGTACCTTGAGAAATCTCCAGAGTCTGATAAAATACAGTGCACCTGATGTGTATACACATCCATTGAATCAGGCTCAAAAAAGACAAGGGCTTTTTGGCAGAAACTGGGTCAACAGACCATGTTGTTTCCAGGAGTGTCTGGTATGGAGAGGGGATGGGCAGGCTCATCTCTGTTCGTGTGCAGGATTTACACATGAGACTTTTAACAAGAAGAGTTCATATCATAATACTCGTTAGTATGTTTCCCTGTTTGGAAGAGAACTAAATGAGATCGTGTGGAGCAGCCACTATATAACATGCTCAGAGTGGGCACAGTGTATATTTGGATCTGGCTGGATCAGTTCCATAGTCATGTGGTGTTTGAATAGATGTTCAGAAATCATGAGGCTGGTGGGAAGGGCTCCTAGTATGAGCTCTGAGCAGCCTCTCCTCTCTTAATCCCTTAGAATCAGGCTTTTCATATATTTTGTGTGTAAGAATTAAAACTTGGATATGTAGGTTACCACAAGATGGCATTCTATTATTTCAAGTAATGCCAGGTAGAGAGAACCTTGGTTCAATGCACTTTTAATTGCTGAAAAGCGTTACAATTCACACCATCCATGTCGTGGCATTCAGCTATTTCACCCAGACCTCTAATTTCCTTTGCCATTCTTTATGGAAACTTGAGGTTTATGTCTGTTAACTCATGAAGGAAAACAACTTCGATTTTGCGAATGATATTTATTAGAGTGAACAGTTCATGGTCTTATGTTCCGCTATTAAAAGTTCCATTTTCCTACAGCTGTTTGCAAGGACTGTAAAATGAGTGACCCTTAAGTGTTTTCCACTGTGTCTTCCACGCTGTCCTATTTTCTCTTAAGCAGATCTGACATATTTAGTTACTGCTCTTGTTTGTTTCTTCTACATGGTTTTCATTTCACAACCATATCCTCAGTGTCTGGAACAGTATTTGGCTATCTGTTTGTCTGTCTATCTGTCTATCTATCTATCTGTCTGTCTGTCTGTCTATGTCTGTCTCTCTATCATCTATCTATATCTATCATCTATCTATATCTATCTATCATCTATATCTATCTCTCCATCTCTATCTATCATCTATCTATCTCTCTATCTCTATCTATCTATCTATCTATCTATCTATCTATCTATCTATCTATCTATCTATCGTAGTTGAAAGAAAATGGCTCTCATAGGCTCATAGGGAGTGGCACTATTAGGAGGCATGGCTTTGTTGGAGTAGGTATGTCACTGGGGGTGGGCTTTGAGGCCTCAGAAGCTCAAGCCAGGCACTGTCTTATCCTGCTGCCTGTGCATCAAGTTGTAGAGCTCTCAGCAACTTTTCCAGCACCATGTCTGCCTGCATGCTGCCATGCTTCCCACCATGACAATAATGGACTAAACTTCTGAACTGTAAGCCAGCTCCAATGAAATGTTTTCCTTCATAAGAGTTGCCGTGGCCATGATGTCTCTTCATGGCACTAAAACTCAAACAAAGATAAGAATCTATCTATCTATCTATCTATCTATCTATCTATCTATCTATCTATCTACCTACCTATGTATCTCTCATCTTTCTACCTGTCTAATCATAAACAAGATGAAGAGGGACCTTATTATTTAAATGAATATCTCTTTTCATTAGGTAAAATGAAAATTAAATGGAAGTGTGAAGTAGGGTAGTTTAACCTGTAAGAATTTCACTGATAATTTAGTGATATAATCAGCACTGAGAAAGTTTTATTACTGTGCCTGTCTGGTGATGCATTCTGTTTTCCTTCATAATTTAGTTTCGTTATCTTCCGACAATTACAGCGTGACTTTAACACTTAGTCAGAATGCGTTTATGGGTATGTAATGAATAAGCTGGAATACAGTAAAGGAAACAATTTCATTTTATGTTAGGGTAAAAAGGCTAATTCACACACCCGTCCTCATAGTTTAAGGAGCTGTGTGCAGGAAGTCTCCTTTGTAGAAGAACAGAATCCTCAGCCCATCCTTCTCATACTGGCATTGCTCTCCAGAGGGCTAAGCTTCATGGAGGCAATCATTGTAATTTTGAGCCTTTCCATTAAGGGCTGAACCAAGTGAATGCATGCACAAATGCCTTTTCATTCTTAATTTTGGTTCTTTGAGACCCATACTGATAGAGTTTTATATTTAATTTCTAAGGATTCGGGAGTCTTGAAGTTCAAGATCTTCAGGCAAAGGACTCCTCTCCCCACCTCAGCCTGGGCAGTGCACTTGGCTTCTGCTTAGTGTGTTAAGATGCCATTTGATCACGTGATGAAGCTGGGGACCTGAGGAGGGGGCAGGAGATAGCCAAGAGCATCAGTCTCCAGTTAGGAGCCACTTTATCCTGTGGCTTTGAGAGATTCATATCCTCTCTCTCCCCCCACATCTGAGTAATGGAAAGGTTGGGTTAGAGTACCTCAGAGGTGACTTCACAATGGATGTGGAGGTAGCCAGACAATATCCGGGGTAAGTTACATTATCCCAGGTGCAGTAATTATTAACGATTTTAACAGGGTATTTAGTTTTTCCAAGCCTCATCTCCCATATAGGAAATAGAAAAGAAAACATAACTTCATGGTATGCTTTTGAGAATTAACAGATTATGTATGTAAATTGAGTAGGTTAAAAGTGGTAGATGTTAGCAACATTGGTGTATCTAAATTGTCTTCCAGGGCAATTTAATAAAGGAAATAAATTATTTATTGAATATCTTCTGTGTGCCTGACATCCTATCCTTTTATTATTATTTCCTGAGGTGCTAACACAGTCACTAGACCATGGTCCAGAGTAGTAGTAAAGGAATTCTCTCTGTTTTGGACTGGCCTATTTAATTCCTGAATCAATGCAGTCTTCATCCAGTTCCTACTTTTGAAAATTGGGGCTAATATTATGTAACTCCTTCACAACAGAATAGCTATTAGAGTTAGACAGGATGGTATAATTAAGGCATTTAGCACAGGAACATTCTTGGTTTATGTTAGGCTGGTTCGTCACTATTATTATTGTTGTTGTTATTATTTATTCCAACCTCATTTTCATCTCTGCTCAGGGCTTATATAGGATCTAAAGGTTTTCCTAGGGATGGAAGGATGGCTCATTGACTAAGAGCACTTGTTACTCTTGTTGGACCTGGGTTCAATTCCCAGCACTGATGTGGCAGTTCATAATCATCTGTAACTCTAGTTCTTGGGGGTTCTGTCGCCCTTTGATCCTCTCTTTGGCACCAAGCACTCACATGGTACACATACATATGTGGGCAAGATCCCCACCCTCCAAATGAAATAAATTGCTCCTGGATTTCATGAAAGCCCGCCTCATTTGTTTGAGTCTAAATGGTAAAACCAAGATCCTTGTTTTAAAACTGGGTTTTACATAGATGTTTCTTGGAAGATGTTTACTGGTCCTACAGGTACCTGTCATTTCTATCAGCTAATTCATGTTGACAAAAGAGAATGCTAACTTTTCTTTATGTGTTTTCATTTAGTATCCCAACCCCATGGATAAAAATGTCATCTCTGTAAAAACTGTGGAAGAAAAGAAAGGTAAGCTCTCTGAATATGCCCGTACTTTAGTTATGCTCATTAAGTATACTGACTTTGTAAAGGATGTATTTGTGTGTGTGTGTGTGTGTGTGTGTGTGTGTCTATGTCTGTGTCTGTGTGTATCTCTATTATATCTATCTATTACAGGGCTCTTGTCACTTTCTAAATTATAGTTGATGGTAAGACTGAGGCTGGGCAGGTGACATGTTGAAATACTTAATGTGTGCCAACATCTTACTTTGATTAGCTCGTTCAACGTTTAGAAATGTTTGAGTTAGGAATTAAGATCATTCCCATTTAATGCAGGGTAGTAAAGCACAGAGAGACTGACCTGCCCAAGCTCATTTGACTGTATCTCTGTCCCATGTCAATTTTTAGATGGCAAAACATTTGTAGATAGCACACAGATGAAACCAGGCATGGTGCGGCTCATGTCTGTAATGCCAGCCATTGAAATGTGGAGGCGGGAGAATCAGGAATTCAAGGCTAGCCCGGGCTATTGAGAAATAGCAGATAGATGTGACATTGCTGTAAATCTAAGCAATTTACAGCAATGAAACCATTGTGAACCATACTGTGGTTTGGCAAATTATGGCTCGTGCTGGGTGTTTTTGTAAGCAAGGTTTTGTTGCACATTAGCCACTCCCTCTGTTTGTATGTTATTGATGGCTGCTTTATCTGAGTTATAGCAAGAGCTGAGTATTTGCAAAAGAGACCATATGGCCCACAAATCTAAATTATATACCCCATGACCCCTTTCAGAAAATGATGACTGCTCCACCTCGGGGGGTCTTTGGTGATCTCTGCATTTCCTTCTTCAGGGGAGGCATTGTGACTGCTAGTGTTGGGACTTGAGGCGCGGGTGGTGCCAGGAGCTCTGATGATGTGCACACTTGATGCACAAGCCTGTGGAGACACCAGAGCCTGGCCCGGCATGCTCTTCAGCCTTAGAAACCACCAGTGTTGCTGTTGGTGATGTGGCTGCAGCTTCCCCTGTGCTGCGTAAACATGAAACCGTCTTATTTATGGGCCTGCTTTCTGCACACCTGCAGCTATAGAAATAGACTGTAAACTTCTTCTCATGGACCTGTATGTAGTATGGGACAAGCTTGCTCTCTGGCCTGAGACAAACCTGATTTCAAGTCCTTGATCTGTTACTTCCCTCATGACCTAACTTTTAAAAGGCTGGAAGTCATTATCTGTCACATGGTAAACAATCCTGTTAATTTCAGGATGTCATCTTTGCCTCCATTTTTTTTTTTTTCCTTTCACTATTTAATCCTGGCTGACCCGAAACTTGCTATGTTCACCAGGCTAGCCCAGAACTCACAGAGAGCCACCTGCCTCTGCCTCCCAGGGGCTGGGATTAAATGCATGTGCCACCATGCCCAGAAGGGACTCCTTTTTTAATATATGTGTTGCTCACATTGTCTGAGGTTACCAAAGGGCTGCTAGGGGTGGAGAATTTGTTTCCTGACTGCAGGTTCCTGGTGGCCATAGTGTTTGCCACAGGGGTTGTTAGGAAAGCTGTATTCAGAGCACTGAGAAACCTTGCCTTGTGTCTGAGCCTTAGCAATTCATAGAGAAATGACAGTACTTCACAGTTTGTCTTTTTTTCTGTTTTCTCTCATCTAACTTCACTTGTTATTTTTATTGTTAGTTTTAACTCTCCTCCAGGAATGCTCTGGTCACAGGGATTTCATTCCTCTATGAGTGTGACTTGTGTAGTTATTTATACAGGCTTACGTGATACACTCAGAAATCTTTGTGTGACAGTGTGGTCCAGGAGGTGGCAGAATTCGTTACCATCCTCTTGTTATGGAGCAGGTGGCCACTGGCCACTGCCACTGGATGCTTGACACTGATCGCCCAGAGTGGTGGCCCGTTTGTGATTCATTTTCTCAATTTTAGCACTGTGTTTGAGGTTGTTTTACCGTTCTCTCTCGAGCATTTGTGATTTGGCTTAGAAAACTGATCAGAAAAGGAGAATGTTTTTTTAAAAATTTTTATTTTATTTCATATTTTGTTTATGTATATGCCTGTGGGGTATGTGTGCCTAGATATAGGTGTCTGAGGAAACCAGATGTGTTGGATTCCTTGGAAGTGGAGTTCTAGGCAGGTATGAGTTGCTTGAGGTAGGTGCTGGGAACCAAACTTATTTACTTTCTATAAGAGCGGTGAGCACTCTTAACCACGGAGCCATCTCTCCAGCCCCCGGAAAACTTAATTTTGTGTTAAACCTTATCTATAAGAATTCTACATATTGAAAATTGAAGTTGAGTTAAAAAGCTCTATGGACTCTTAGATAAGAATACGCTTTTCCCTAATTATTTTTTGGCTATGAAATTTTCTTTTTCTAGATGAATCAACAGGACTCATCTATAGAAAGAGGATTGCTATCTGTCAGAATGTGGTTCCAGAAATTTTAAGAAAGGTAAATTCATTTCAGAGTTTAATCACAGTGGGTACAAAATTGAGGAGTTTTAATAGTCATAGAAAAAGACAGCATTTTCTGATCTAAAGTAGTGTCAGAATCTCCCACTTCCCGAGTCTCATCGTTTTGTAGGGGAAATATTTCTTTCATGCCCATCCCGGTTTTAGTAGATGCTGCTGGGGTGTCTCATCTCTGTCCCTTCTGAGAAGGGCTCTTTGTGGACGTGGGGAGATTTGATGATTATTTTGTGGGCACTTTTGGCATTTTGAATGAAGTGGTGTCTTCACTAGTCTGTCCGTGGTTAGCAATAGGTAAGAACAATTAGAAGTGGGAAGATTGTATTAGTGTCATGTTCGGTTAGGAAGTGCACACTTGTGTTTTGCAATGCGCTGTCAGAAGTAACAGCTGTCTCTGAAAGCATAAAATTCTTAGTGCCCCGTGCAAGCCTTTTGGTGTGTATGTCTGTGAAATAAGGTCACTGATGCCGGAATCTTCATGATAGAAAATTGTTTTCTCTCTTTGAAACCCTCAAGCACTCTGATGATTCTGTGTTGGACGGAGGTAAGTTGAAAGCATCATTTGCATGGCTTGAACCAAACATGGATTTTTCTTCTTCAGAGAGGGCCTCCCTCACTCCATAGCCTTGGTGGGCCTGGAACTTAGGGTGTAGCCCAGGCTGGCCTCAAACTGGGGGTAATCTTCTGACGTTGGCCGTCTAAGTTCTGAAATAACAGGTGTGTACCACCATGCCTAGCTGCAGAAGTATTAAAAAATGGCTTTTATTTATTCTGAAAATTCCATGTGTATATATGTAGACACACACACACACACACACACACACACACACACACACACACACATATATATGTATACATATACATATATATGTATACACACATACATATATGTCTTGATCTTATCTACCCCCTTCCCCCTCCAACTTCCTTCAGAATCTCCCTCCCAACTTCATGTTCTCCTATATTTATTTATTTATTTATTTTTGGTTTTTCGAGACCTGGTTTCTCCGTGTAGCTTTGGGCCTTTCCTGGAACTCACTTGGTATCCCAGGCTGGCCTCGAACTCACAGAGATCCACCCTGGCTCTGCCTCCCAAGTGCTGGGATTAAAGGCGTGCGCCGCCGCCACCACCACCCGGCTTTAGTATTATTATTTTTAAATCGTTGAGTCTAGTTAGTGTTGCCCATATCTGCTTGGGTTTGTAGTTATCCACTGGGGCATGGGTACCCCTCCAAAGAAAAGTAGCTCTGTTGCCTTTAGCAGACTTCAACTGCAGTAACTCCTCAGCTAAGCCCTCCCCTGTCTGTGCTGTCTGTGCTGGATTTTTAACTGGCTTGCTCTTACGCAGGTCTAATGCAGGTAAGCACAGCTCTTCTGAGTTCATAGGTACAACAGCCATGCCATGTCCGTAGGATAGCCTTCTACAGCACTCCTCTCCTACATTCCCTCTTTCCCCTCTTCCACCGGGTTCCCTGAACCTGGAGGTGTTTGGTATCGATGTCCCATCTCTGGCTGAGCACTTGCTGTCTTTTATTCTCAGTACTTGAAACAGTTATGGAGCCCTTCATTCACAATGTAGGATTTTTGATGGGGGTCTTCTAATACATAAGAGGAGAGCGTCTTGACAGGCACTTAAAAAAATGCCTCAGAAGAGATTCCCTGTGTGATACAGAATGACTCTGGGCACTAAGGATTAGCTTGCAGATTAAATTGCTGTGCTTATACTAGGAAAAATGGCAGCTCCCATCCATTCCTCATCGTGGGTTAAAACAGTTATTCCCTTAGTGGAAAGAAAGCTAGAACCACGAAGAAGATGAACCTCTTTTGACTTGCAGATGGAAAGCTGTGTTGCGCTTCAGTGGCAAATTATCACTAGCTTTTCCAGAGTTCATAGCTGCCTTCGCCCTATATACGCACTTTGAATCTATTATTTAAAAAGGCATTCAAGTTCGTCTTGTATCTCAATTCTTAAATAATTTAAGGCTTTGACTTGTACAATTCTGCCTTTGTAGCTTTCCTTGTCCTCTCCACCTGGGAAAGCATCGATTTCTAGGGACTGAACAGAGATTACAACCAGGAAAATATTTCTCTTGATACTGCCCTGCATGGGAGCGTGTAGGTGGGCCTGATGAGAATCCATCAACGCAAGAAGGCCTGCCCCAGAGGAGACATGAGGCAGCTGATAATTTGTTTAGTGGCCTACATCAAATCCTGGGCCATTTGCAAGTCCTGGGCAGCATGTAGTGAGGCCACAGTGTGTCTGATTATCAGAGACTGAGGGGTGTTGCTCAAGTGCCATCCCTACATCAGGACCACTTGTCCCTTTTGCGATCTAAGGCTGAGATCTACCCTAGGCAGTCTTCATGTAGCTTGCTCTTCCTAAATTGAGAACGCTGTCCTCTCTCTGTTGGACAGGTGAGTATTTTAAAGGTACCTGATGTCCAGCTAGAAGAGGAATCGTGGCTCAGTCTTCAGGAAAGGAACATGGCTATACGGAGTCACTGCCTCACGTGGACACAGTATGCATCCATGAGGGAAGAGTCTGTCTTCCGGGAAAGTGTGGAAAATCCAAATTGGTAAGATCACCTGTGTGTGTGTGTGTGTGTTGGGTGTGGGGATTCATACACAGCACATGATTTCATACTTATGGTCTCTGTCTATGACATGTATTTCACATTATTTTTAATCTTGTAAGTAATAAATGAATATGTTTTCTTTGGAGAAAATATGACAGAACTCCAAGTACCCTCCAAATTCTGGTATTTTCTTACTCTCGCCAAAGGCAATGAATGTCACCAATTTGTTGAATATTCTTTTTGGACCTTTAAAGTCAATCTGGGTATTCAATAGAGTTTAAATAAGGAAAATATTTTGATTGATGTTTTCACGCATGTGAGCCTGCCAGTGGGCCTGCCTAGCACCTGTCAATTCCAGTAGACTTAAGGAGGTGCTTCCCCACAGGCTCACCCAACCTGCTTAGTTTGTATGTCTTTTTTTTACATGCATGATTTTTATGTCATCCAAGTTTTGTACACTTATCTTTTATGTTTACTAGACTGCTTCTGAGCTTTGCCTATCTGATACACATAGAGCTAGATGATTCCTCTGCATGCGATCCAACTTTACTACATTTTATTTAGTTACTGATACAACGGTAGATACTCTGATGGACTCTAGTTTCTCTTTGCGGTAAAGGAGAATAGCAAATCCATGAGTTGCATGTCCTCTGAATATGACTCTTACGTGATATGTGTTTCACTTAGTGAAAATTTTCAGTGTTGTATTTGTTGCAAGATTATCTATAAACAATCAAATTTACCTTTCTTAGCACATAGTAGTGACACAACTGTACATATGATACATATGTACACAGTTACTGCTTAACCCTGTATGTATACTAAATGCTCCTGAAATGTGTGACTTTAAGTGGATTCTGTGGTGTGTAGAAGGCTCACAGATAAGCATTGGAGAAACCTGGAGTGTTAATCATGCTGGGTTATCTCCTCAACGGAGTGAATGAATATCTGCTTTCCATCCCGAAGGCTGAGAGTGGATCTTGTTAATAACCTGGTGACATTTGGTGACTACCTCTAGAGCCATACCTCACCCAAATCCCCCAGAATGTTTACTGCAGACTCTCCCTCCCTTGACCTTTATCTTTATCTTTGTTTCTCAGTCAATAGAACCCATCCTCAGGGGAGATGTCACGTGTAGTTTATAGCCTGCTGACCTCTATGCTATCTTGATCAGAGACCACACCAGATCCTAGGCCCTTAGGCAATCATTCATGGTGGAGGTCATGCATATTTTTCAAAAGAGTTTCTGTGTAGTCACATCTTAAGATTTATTGACCATATGGGATTGGGATAATTGCTACCAGGAAACTTTTTTCCAAAATCGTACTAGACTTAAGTGTGTCTAAATAACCTGGCCTGGTGTCAGGCTTCAGAAGTTTGAATCGGTGTTGGCTAACGACACTGGGCAAACCAAATACTTTCTTTACCTCACGCTAATGTTTTCCTGTGTCCGTGAAGCTCACAGGGATCCCCACAGTGGTTGCATGCCTTATATGCTAGTTTTAAAGCACTGTGGGCTGGTTTTCAGGACACGCACAATTTGAGTTCCAGGAAATCTTAGTTTGAGATGCTGTGATTAGATACCACAGTGCTGGCTGTTCAAGCAACACCTGTGAATTTCTCATGGCTCTGGAGGCTGGGAAGACCATTCTGTGGGCACTGGCAGAGCTGATGTCTGTGAGCCTGCTTCTAGCCTGTCTCCTGTTAAACCTGATGGTGGAGAACATATGATCTACTCTCCTCCATGGAAGGATTCTATGGCTGAGTTCTGCATTCACAGAATCATGTAAACTTGGCTTATTTCCCAAAGGCCAGTGTCCTAACTCCTTCCCACTGTGGGTTAAGGTTTCAACATACAGGCTGGAGGCATCTGGGTAGTAAGTACACAGCTTGTCTCCCATGCATGAGGCCTTCCATCCCTAGCACCAAAAATACAATGCAATTCAATTCAATAAAATAAAAATGGCAACATATAAATTTTGGGGTACATAGACACATGATTCATAACAGATTCTGGAGTGTTGTCTTCATTGTGTTAACATACAAGTTTGCACTCCATAACAGCACTCAGCAGAGTTTACTTCCCTACAGCATGGCCTGTAGTTAATTAACACAATTTACATTTTATAAGTACAATGGGTGAGAAACAATCAATTGTAGCATGAATTGTTAGAAGGCCTTATTAATAAAAGTAAACCTGGAGCCAGGTATTGGGGTGAATGCTGAAAGATCAGAGAAACAGAACCAGTCACAGCTAACCTCACCTCGCCAATTCCTCAGCTGATCTCGTTTCCTCAAACTAGAAGCTCTTGTGTCCTCATCCGAATGGATCTCAGCTGAACTGCTGCTCAAAAGCCTAAAAGCTTAACAGACTTTAGTTCCTGGTTTTCATGCTTTATATATTTTTCTGCTTCCTGCCATGACTTCCTGGCATTAAAGGTGTGTGTCACCATGCCTTGCTGTTTCCAGTGTGGCTTTGAACTCACAGAGATCCGGATGAATCTCTGCCTTAGGAATGCTAGGATTAAAGGTGTGTGTGCCACCATTTTCTGGTCTCTATGTCTATTTAGTGGCAGTTCTGTTCTCTGACCCCAGATAAGTTTATTAAGGTGCACAATATATTGGGGAACACAATATTACCACAATCAATTTCTTGAAAACAGATTTAAAAGAAGGATTTTTATATTGCTATGTGTATGGCACTTTGCCTGCATGTTTATATGTGCACTACATGTGTGCCTCCTACCTGCAGAGGCCAGAAGGCGGCATTGGATCCCCTGGAAGTGGAATTATAGATGTGTGTGAGCTGCTGTGGGTGCTGGGGACCAAACCCAGTCCTCTGCAGGAGCAGCTGTGCTTCTTAACTGCTGAGCCAGCCCTCTCTCCAGTCTCCTTGTTTTGTTTTTGAGACAAGTATCTCCGCTATTTACTCCTGGGCTCCCACCATCCTCCTGCCTCAGCTTCTTTGGTGTCTGTCATCTTTTTTAGCACCTAAAGATAGATTTTGAAACAAAAGTAAAACATCACAAGCACTAAATATTAATGACAACCATTATGGTGAATAATGTGATTTCAGAAGATAATTTACTGTGTTTTATTATGACTGTTCTGTGTGGCCTGAAAAAATTTATAATATAGCTACAGTTTTAATGAAAATAATAAAACCTTCAAATAACTAATTGTCCCAATGCAAAAGCCATTCTTATGGCCCAGCCTTTTTCCATATCATTTCCTCCTGCACAGCTCTGGCCACACATCAATGATGCTAGGATGTTTCAGCAGCCTCTCGGATGAGTAAGGAAGCATGTCTTATTCACATCAGAGGGAGAGCCACGGAGCCATAGTTTTTGCTTGGCTGATGCCCAGAGCTGACATGGGACATAGATGGCTGGGATTAAAAGCTGGGGCCAGGGAACAGAGCTCTGTTGTTGGCATGAAGATGGCGTAAAAGGATGGTGTTGTCTGATGCATGCAAAGTAAGGCTTTCATTTCATCCTCTTTATTTTAGTACTGGTTTTTTGTTCATGTTATTTGGTATTATATTTGGGCTATTGGATAGTCTTCAAAGCTGTCTGTGTCAGTTAAATTACTATTTGTCAAGATAATCCAGGAAACTTTTCACTTTATGTTTTTTTTAAAAAATTATATGAAAAGAATAATTCTTTTTTTTTTATTTTTTATTTTTTTATTTTGAGACAGGGTTTCTCTGTGTAACTTTGTGCCTTTCCTGGAACTCACTTTGTAGACCAGGCTGGCCTCGAACTCACAGAGATCTGCCTGGCTCTGCCTCCTGAGTACTGGGATTAAAGGCGTGCGCCACCACATGCATGACTATGACTCTGATAACTAATATTAATTCTGGGCAACAAATCACATGAACTAGACATCGTGCTTATTTACATACTTTTTACATACAGTTTACATTCTACTGTTCTTAGTCCATTCTTACTTGACTCTTAGGTTTCTGAACTTTTAGCTATTGCAGTGTTATAATGGAAATCTCTGCAATTGTATGTTTTATCACGTATTTAATTACTCTTTTGAAGACAGGGTCTCATGTTAACCACGCTGGTCTTTTGAATTCATTATGTAGCCAAAGATGACCTTGAACTTGTAATTCTTCTGCTTTTACCTTCCAAGTACTAGGACTACAGGCCTATGCAACTACCCCTGGCGTATGCAGTACTGGAGATGGAACCCAGGACTTGGTGCTAGGCTAACACTCTACCAACTGAACTACACCCCCCCCCCAACCTGTTATCTATGATCTAAGAATTTTTTTATGACTCAATTCTAATTTGTAGTATGGATATGTGTATATGTGGAAAGACAGAGAATGAATAAATATGAATGTGTGTTACTGAAGACTTGGGCAAGCCTGGCAGATGCTCTACCACTGAGCTGTAGCCTCAGTTTGCATAGTTCAAAATAGAGAAACAGAAATTATGCTTAGAACTGTTTACCATCATCTTGCAAGACTATGCTCCATGTGTAGGTTTTCTGTTATCTCAGTACGCCATCCCCAAAAGTGCTCACTTCCCCGCTTAAGACTGATGGGACTGGGAACCTGCTGTCTTACTTCCCAGAGCCAGATGTAAGTCCAGGAAAGATGTGTATTCAGGGATTTATGTATTTGGCATGGACAATCCCCCACGTCGATGTTGTTTTCTCTGTTGTACAGTGACTGGTGTGTGTAGGTCCAGGATGCCATGTGGAGTGTGTTGGTGAATGTCAGAGTCTCTGGACTCACAGACTCCAGGCTGATGTTCTCCTTGCCCTTAGGACCTCTCAAGACAAGCCAGAAAATAGAAAAGTGAACAAAACAACAACAGTATGAAATTAAAATCATCTCTTGTGGGAATGAGCTTTTGCTAGGAAAATGGAAAGTGGTGGTGAAAAAAAAGAAGAAAAAAATATGATAATTTCTGCTTTCTGAAAACCTCCATTCTGAGATAGGCTTATTAGTTTCTTAGTATTTGTGTTTGAACTGATTCGTCTTT